CAAGGATATCAATATGGAAGTGGTATTGAACAAAAAGCAGCAGAACAAAGAAATAACTATGCACAAACTAATCTTAGTCATTGTGGAATTGAAGTAGATAAAGATGAGCAAGAGGCATTTGAATTGTATAAGAAAGCAGCTGAACAGGGAAATGCTACTGCACAGTTTAACCTTGGTTGGTGTTATGATAATGGAAGTGGAGTAGGAAAAGATGAACAGAAAGCAATAGAATTGTATAAAAAAGCAGCTGAACAAGGAAATGCTTCAGCACAATGTAATCTTGGTTACTGTTATTCCAGTGGAACTGGAATAAAAAAAGATGGACAAAAAGCAGTAGAATTGTATAAAAAAGCAGCTGAACAAGGGAATGCTCAAGCACAATTTAATCTTGGTTGTTGTTATGACAATGGATCTGGAATAAAAAAAGATGAACAGAAGGCAGTAGAACTGTATAAAAAAGCAGCTGAACAAGGACATGCCAATGCTCAATTTAATCTTGGTTGTTGTTATGAGAATGGATTTGGAATAAAAAAAGATAAACAGAAGGCAGTAGAACTGTATAAAAAAGCAGCTGAACAAGGACATGACAATGCTCAATTTAATCTTGGTTGTTGTTATGTATCTGGAGCTGGAGTAGATAAAGATTACCAAAAGGCAGTTGAGTTGTTTAAAAAAGGTGCTGAGCAAGAAGATTCTGATGCACAAGTCAATATTGGTTGGTGTTATCAACATGGAATTGGAGTAGGTAAAGATGAAAAAGGGGCAGTAGAATTGTATAGCAAAGCAGTTGAGCAAGGAAATGATTATGCACAGTATCATCTTGGTTGGTGTTATCAATTTGGAATTGGGGTAGGAAAAGATGAGCAAAAAGCAGTAGGATTGTATAAAAAATCAGTTGAACAGGGAAATACTAAGGCACAATATTACCTTGGTTGGTGTTATCAGTTTGGAATTGGAGTAAGAAAAGATGAACAAAAGGCAACAGAATTGTATAAAAAAGACAGCTGAGCAAGGAATTCTTAAAGCACAAAATAGTCTTGCTTGGTGTTATCAATTTGGTATTGTAGTAGGTAAAGACAAACAAAAGGCAGTAGAATTATATAAAAAAGCAGCTAAAGAAGAATTTGCTATGGCACAAAATAATCTTGGTTATTGCTATCAGTATGGAGCTGGAGTGGGCAAAGATGAACAAAAGGCAGTAGAACTGTATAGAAAAGCAGCTGAACAAAAAACACTCTCAAACCAAACATTTGAACAAGGGGCAGTTGAAGAAGGGGCAGTTGAACAAGGGAATGCTTGTGCACAAAATAATCTTGGTTATTGCTATCAATTTGGAAGTGGAGTAGATAAAGATGAACAAAAGGCAGTTGAATTGTATGAAAAGGCAGCTGAACAAGGAAACACTATGGCACAGTATAATCTTGGTTGTTGTTACCAACTTGGAATTGGAGTTGAAAAAAATATTCAAAAAACCATAGAATTGTATTACAAAGCTGCTAAGCAGGGGAATTTTTGTGCACAAAATAATCTTGGTTGGTGTTATCAGTTTGGAATTGGAGTTGAAAAAGATGCCCAAAAGGCAGCAGAACTGTATAAAAAAGCTGCTGAACAAGGAAATGCTAATGCGCAATATAATCTTGGTTATTGCTACCAATTTGGGATTGGAGTAGAAAAAGATGAACAAAAGGCAGTGAAATTATATGAAAAAGCAGCTGAACAAGGAAATACTGCTGCAAAAGGTTATATTGAAAGCTATTATAAGAAAAAAGGTATAAAAAAATGGCTTATGTAGTAGTCCGATAAAATGCAAATTATTATTATTTTTTAACGTTTTAGTGAACCTATCCAATTGTTTATCACTGAATTTGTGGTTTGCTTTATTTTTTAACAATATTTTATTAACTATATTTATTATTATATATTGTCTAAAAATTTTATTATGTATTTATTTTTGAGTATTTCTTTTCTTTTTTGTATCTCATTTTTTTTCTTTTCTCTGGTTAATAGTCATAATTTTTTATTGATTTATCATAGATAACTCTGCTTCTAATAATGTACTAGCTGCTAAATTGTCAACAAAACGAGCGGTTATTTAACAATAGTATAATTTTGTCTCCATAATTTCCTCGGTGGCTTAACGTATTTGATGGCAACAATTGGTCAGTTTTCTGCACTAGTCTTTATCCAGGCAATTTTTCGCTTTAAATGGTTAGCGTCATGCAATAAAGTCCGGGTCAATCTTATATAATCTTACGATTTCTATTCTATTCCCAGAGCGAAGTCTATTTTATACCTTTTTTGTGCACACTCACCTGACAAAGGTGTTCCCATGATTTGTACGCCCAATTGACAAAATTTGATTGCATGTTTACTCACCTGACAAAAGTGATTGTCACAAATAAATTTATTACGATTGTCTTAAATTTGAAAAAAAAATGAAAATAAATTACATAACTGCATTGTAACTGGTGTAATAGCAGTATAGTTATAATATTTTTGTATGGAAAAAATACGCAAATAAGCAGTATCAAAATTCTAAGTAGTGACGAGTAGTATGTCGAAAGTTCTGCGGTGATAATCCGTGTGCCGTGATGAAGGATTCTTTGATGTGGTGTGATAAGGGCGGAGTTCTAAAATCACCAGATATGAACAATGCAAAATTATTTGTACATTACTAAATGAAACATCTCTATTCAATCCAAACTTATAAATACAGTCGTATTGCTTTATCCACGTCCAAAGATTAAAATTTCTAAAATAATAAAATAAAAACACATCTAATAAATACACATCTATTAATTATACTCCTCTTAAAATATAATGACAAAACCCGCGGATACGCTTTATATACTTTATTCCTGAACCAGAAATAACAATTGACAGAAGCGAAGATCTTGAACCTTTGACCGACGGTGCATCTTGTCCGTGGCAAATCCTCTTACTTTCTCTTACTTGCTTAACGGCAATTCACTCGATATGGTAATTTCTTCCACGTGCTACTTCCGATTGACAGTGCAGATTGTCCCGAAGCACCAGATTCCGTTTACATCCGTATTTGCCACTTTGGTCATACTTACAGCTAGAGAAATTAAAAAAACTATCAAAATTCGCAACGTACATTATATACAAGCCTCCGACTACAGCTGAATTAATTACACGAAGCATTTACACCGGAAACTGGATTATTGATGAAAGTAAAACAGTTAAATTACCTAATCCATATTCATTTGAACTAAATTGTACTTTCATGAAAAGCTATTTACATATAAATGCTATGATTGAACATTATAGTCTACCATCATTACTTCTTACGCGGAAGGTAAATGGACTCATCTCTAAGAAAATTTAACAGATGGCGATAAATATCAAGAACTTGTGGTAGCCAGACGTCTAGGTTCAATGGAATGTATATTCTTGCTACTAGGGGAAAGAATATGCAATTCGTCTATTGTAGTAAAGTATCTAACTACAGAGATGCCTAATACAAGATCCGGCCTATTTGTTTGATAGATGACGATAATCCTTTGGGATGACAACGTAAACAAATATTTTACTCGTCCATTAGATCCGCTTTATCAACAAATCACTTATCTGGATTACTTCAGAAATTATAGTATCTTTACCAATCCACTAACTCAACAAATCCAGAAATTTATAAAGACCGACTTAATAATTTTGTCATTAGACGTTCTTCTCCAATTTCGACACTTGGCTATAAAGCCTTTTCAAAGGGCCTCCTTAACGTACACCCCGGGTGTACGGCAAATTCGTACACCCCGGGTGTACGATAAAAGATACACCCGGGGTGTACGATTATTTGCGTACACCAGGGGGTGTAAGTTAAATGGATACACCCGGGGTGTACGTTAAGGACACCCAAGCTCAAATCCAAAATCAATTTCACAGCTTTATAACAAATTTACTCAATGAACTCAGTTTCATTAAGAGCCAAACAGTGAATTTTATAGTGCGAGAAGAAGATACAAGATTTTATTCAAAAATTTCCACTATAAACTCTTGCATTAATTTTCCTAAGTACACGTATATCACATGCTTATTGCTGTTTTCAAAATTCTAGAATTTGGCCACAAACTTTTTTAATCGATTGGAAGTCAGACCAGTATCTGGACGAGTTGGTTGCTGAGATGGAATAATGTACTCGGAAGGTGGTGTCTATACCTACGCTATGGAAAAAGGTTGACTATTCAGTGTATGTATTTATTTATGTTATTTGATATTGCTGACGGCACAAAACACAGGCTTCTCAAACTCAAACTCAAACTCAAACGTTTACAATCCCAGCAACCTCTATCACAGATGCATAATCAATCTACAAAATATCCACAGCACGATCAAGTGTTTACAGTCAAGGACATCTGGGCAAGATCAAGCTGAGATTGAAAAGAAAAGCGTTGTTCCAATACCTGAGCAAAACCGACCAGAACAGAGTCAAAGCCTACTCCTTTCGTACTCCTGTTCGTTCGCTGTTATTGCCACCAACGCCAGGACTATTGCTGTTACCGCATTATCCCGTAGTGATGTTGGCGGTGCTGTATTGGTACAAGCATGAAATTGGTTATTATAGTTTAATATCACCCATTTATCGTTAAATATCGCATTGGGTGTGAGAGCGTGCGTGAATGCATGGTTGATCAATTACTTAAATCCATTCATTCATTTGATTGTTTTCGTTTTCATTTTCAAAAAATTTATTTGATGAAAAATTAAAACTTGCAAACTGTTATAATTTACTTCCAACTTGAACTATTTAATTTTTATTTCATTTGTTTCACTGATACAGCTCCCCCCGTCATCTTGTATAGCGCAGGAGCATTTTTGGTTGAACAGTACTTCTTATGAATCCCACATCCTCGAAAAGCAATGCGGGAAATATCTACCCAAACATTGGCAAACTCCATGAGAACAAGTTAAATTTTATCGCACGTTGGTAATACGGCCGGCCTTATTTATTGGGGGGCTTTTTGTCTGTTTCTTCGGCTTCTCTTCTTCTTTTTCGGCCAATTCTTGTTCTCGTTTTTTTCTTCCCGTCTTTTTCTTTCGGCTTCCTCCAACTTTTTTGGTCTTCCTTGTTTTTTTCTTGTCGTTCAGCATT